TGAGCTGCACACACACATCACTGTGTTTGCGATTATAGTTTTACAGTGTGTTGATTGTTGATGTCCCCTACTTTTCTGGATCTTCCCCCATTTTTTTTTTTTTGAGATAGGACCTTGCTCTGTCATCCAGACTGGACATTATCTCAAACAAACAAACAAACAAAATCAAAAGTGCAGCCCTCACCTCCTGGGCTCAAGTCAACCTCCCACTTCAGCCTCCTGAGTAGCTGGGACCATAGTTGTCTGCCACCACCCCTGGCTAATTTAAAAAAAAAAAAAAAATGTTTTTTTGTAGAGACGAGGTCTTGCCATCCCGCCCAGGTTGGTCTCGAACTCCTGCGCTTGAGCAATCCTCCTGCCTTCGCTTCCCAAAGTGCTTGGCTTACAGGCATGAGCCACACCCAGCCGTTCCCCAGTTTTGCATTGGCATTAGTAGCTTTAACTCTGTTGTGTTTCTCTTACAATAAGAACCTTTCGCAACACATTTCCATCCATTGACAAAATAGGGAGAAAGGGGCATTTCCAGTGATTTAGATTACTTTAAAAAACATCTGTGTCATCTCTTTAAAATGTTCAGGAACTTTGTGTTGGCAGTGTTTTCCTCTGTGCCGTCAGACACATTCGGTACTGGTTTATAGAAAGAGTTAAGAGCCATCTCTGGAATCAAGGTGACTTTGGTAAATGCTGAGACCCGAAGGGATTTGGTGATAGCAACTCTCCTTTCAAATTCTGCAGGAGGAGTGGGTGTTAATCTGAGACGGCCACAGAGCTGAGGGTTCCCACAGGGAACGGTAACATGAGGTGTGTTCGTGGACTAGCCCCTGCTCCCCAGTCTCAGAAGACCTCGGGGAAGACACAGGCAGACACCTGGGACACACAGAGTCCCCAGGTCACAGGGACAGAGGAACAGAGAACAAAAGGGGCAGGTTTTTTCAATTATAAAACTACCATGTTCTGGCTTATACTGATACATTTTAAAAGCCAGGTTAAACAGATGATTTTCTTAGAAAATATAAAGTATGGCTGGGTGCGGTGACTCATGCCTGTAATCTCTGCACTTCGGGGGGTCAAGGCGGGTGGATCACTTGAGGTCAAGAGTTCAAGACCAGCCTGGCCAACATGGTGAAACCCCATCTCTACTAAAAATACAAAAATTAGCTGGGCGAGGTGGCACACACCTGTAATCTCAGCTACTCGGGAGGCTGAGGCAGAAGAATCGCTTGAGCCTGAGAGGCAGAGGTTGTAATGAGCAGAGATCACTCCAGCCTGGGCAACAGAGTGAGACTCTGTCTCAAAAAATAAAATAAAATATAAAAACAACAACAAAAAGGAAAATATAAAGTATAACATTGACTCAAGCAGAAATAGAAAATCTGATTAGCCCTATGGGACATGGGCAGGAAACAGAAAAGAAAAAAAAAAAGTAGTCAAATGATATCCTTTAAAAAAGTACCAAGCTCAGGCAGTTTTATACGGGAATATACGGGACTGACCTCTGCAACGGAGAGACAGAACGACTGTTTAGGAACCTGTCCTCTGAAGGCCAACCGCTCAGTTCAAATCCCATCTTCACCCCCATGGCTGGTGACCTTAGGCAGATTACTTAAACTCTCAGCCTCTTCATCTGTCAGATGGACATGAAAGCAATACCTAGTTCACAGGGTTGATTCCAGGTTAAAGACTTGACTCATGTAAAGTATATAGAAGTGCGTTTGCTGCACAGGAATAACTTGATACAGGTGAATTGTTACTAAGAATTACTATTATTTCCAGGCACAGAAAAAGACAAAAGTATCACAATTTATTCTATAATATATAGTTGTGTGAGTCCATTCTCACATTGCTATGGAGAAATACCTGAGACTGGGTGATTTTTAAGGAAAGAGGTTTAATTGGCTCACGGTTCTGCAGGCTGTTCGGGAAGCATGATGCCGGCTTCTGCTCAGCTTTGGGGCGGCCTCAGGAAACCTTCAATCATGGCGGAAGGTGAAGGGGGAGCTGGTGCATCTTACATGGCCAGAGCAAAAGCAGGAGGGTCAGGGAGGTGCCACACACGTTTAAACGACCAGATCTCACGAGAACTCACTATTGCGAGAACAGTACCAAGTGGAAGGTACTAAACCATTCATGAGAAATTCACGCCCATGATCCATCCACCTTCCACCAGGCCTCACCTCCAACACTGAGGATTACAATTCAACATGAGATCTGGGTGGGGACACAGAGCCAAAGCACATCAATAGTTAACCAAAAACCTGAGAAACTCATGGCAAGAATAACACACACACATCTACACACAGTGATGCTGACATATTATTTATAATAGGGATGTAATCACCCAAAAATAAAAGTATTAACAGAATCCAATCCATCAGGAGCAAGTAAAATCTCTGGAAAGCAAAGATGGTTCAACATTAGAGAATCTGTTAGTACAACTCACTACATGAAGAGACTAAAAAAGGGGAACTTTGGGGCATCTCAAAAGATAGGCCCCTAATAAGCATTGGGTCAATTTAATATTTAGTCCTAATTTTAAAGCACGCACAACCACAAGATATTCAGAACGCTAAAAACAGCCAGAAACTTCCTTAACCTGTAACAAACGTTGTATTTAATACATGAGAACAGATATCAGCACACTTCTGTAAAGGCTCAGATCGTGAATATTCTAGGTTTTTCGGGCCATATTGCCTCTGTCTGGACTATTTAATGCTACTGCTGTGGCCTGAACGTAGCCATCAGACAATATGTAGAAGAATGGGCGTAACTGTGTTCCAATGAAACCACCTACAAGAAGAGACCACAGGCTGGATTTGGCCCCCGGCTACCAATTTGGAAACCCCCGCATTAGAATCATTCCCATTAGTCAGAAACAAGAGAAAGACGCTTGATTTTATACTTGAGTCTTGGCCAACGTGATAATATATACAAAGTATAAATATTAGAAAGGCAGAGACACAACTATAATTACTTGCATAATTATATGACTGTTTACCCAAAAAGTTCAAAATAAGGAACGGACAAACTATTACAATCACAAGTGTAACATCAATATACATCGATCAACAGTGTTTATTAGAACAGCAAGACAGAATTACAACATTTTATGGGAAAGTGTCCCATTCATTATAACAAAAACTTGGTGGATTTCATAAAAATTCAGAAAATACTCAAGAACAAACCAAGAAATGAGCACGTCGGACATCAAAGAAATCTTTAAAAATCTGCCAAAGCTCTAAATTCGTTGAGAGCTGGAATCCATTTCCAAGTAGTAGGAATCTAAGTCACATGAATGTCAGTTTTCCCAACCGTCCCCATAAATGCTGCGCATCCCTTAAAACTCCCGCAGGACTGCTGTGGGTCTTGACACTGCTTCTAAACTTGACGTGGGAGAGGAAACGTGTAGGACCCGCTGAGGAATGCTTCTGAACGGCCTCGGGGAGGCAGCCCGCTGTAAAGTTGTCATAGTTGATGCAGACACATAGGTCGGCCCCGTGAGTCAGGACGGACACAGCAGAGACAGCACGAAGTATTTACCGGAACGTTGTTTACGACGATGGTAGCATTTCATGTCAGTCGGTGGAGAAAAGATTCATTTTTCAATAAATGATGTGACAACTGGCTATGCATTTGAAAAAGAAAATGTGAGACCCGTCTTTCACACAACCCCAAACAACATTCCAGGGGATCAAAGAACTAACCATTTGAGATGGAGTCAGCGCTGATGCGTCCCCCAAATTCCCGTGTTGAAGCCTCACCCCCAGGGACACGGTGTCAGGAAAGGGAGCCTTGGGAAGGTGATTCCGTTAGCCAGGAATCCGACCCTCACCAGGAACCTGACCACGCGACACGGTGATCCAAGACTCGCTATCTCCAGAACCGTGGGAATAAGTTTCTGCTGTTTAAGCCCCGCAGTCTATGTCATTTTGTTCTCAGCCCTGGCCGATGAGAATGCCATTAGAACATCAGAAGCCAGAGCCATAGAAAGACAGAAGAGACACCGAAGTTTGTTTTAACCGTCTTGCCATAAGAAATACCCTGGAAGTCACACCCGAGACTCAGGCGTCCTAAGAAGGGGGGATGTGGACAGTCCCTCCAGCACCTCTCGTGGCCGGGCTGGGTGACAGGCACACAGGAACTCATGGCACTCACCTCATAACTATTGTTCACATTCAACATGTACCCAAATTTACAATAGGACCCCATCGACAAAGCTAAAAGGCAGGCAACGGATGAAAGAAACCATTTCCAAAATACCAAAGTGTCCCAAAAGGAAAAGACTAACTACCGGGCAGAAGATTCAGTTACACAAGTCACAGAAGAACCCGCAGGTTCCACTCCTGCAGAAGCTGGTCACTCTGCCGACACTGTCAGCGTCATGCAGAGGGGTCTCCTCCCCACATCCACAGCTCCCCGCATACCCTTCTGTGGGCCCGAGGTGGGTGTGTAGTGATTCGTCTACACCTCCGTCTGCTCCTGAGAGCAGCGCCCTTCACATCTGCATCCCAGGCCTCACTAAACACAGGACACGGAGGTCCCCCCGCAATTTATCAAATGAATGAACGAATGAAGGTCGTTTTCAAGATCTCTGGATCTTCTCTTAGAATCTCCAAGTCTTGCACTTGCACTTGCTCTGGAGGGGATGAAACAGACGCTGCCAGGGCCAGGAGGTTTACGACGTTTATGCTGAGGCTCAGGGAGCTACGGCCCCGTATGGATTTGTTACCCTGAACTCGGTGGCCAGGGCCTGCTCGTGAATCAGCAAATCCTCCGGTTGTGCTTCATTCCAGGGAGGAAACCCCAGCAGCCCTGTCCCGTCTGCGTTTCCGCTGGTTTCCGCTGACGCCATCACTGGAGAGGGAGAAGAGGAGTCCTTGAAACCAGCCCTCCAAACATAAATAAGCAGCCGGGTTCAGCGAAGCACATGACGCACTTTTCACCTCTGCCAGCGTCTCCATCTCAGAGAGTCCTGCGGGACAGATTCTCACAGTCCCCAGTGAGCCCCGTCCGTGACCCCCGCTCGCCCCCCACGTTTCCCAGATGACGGCAGCTGGAAAGCCTGCCTCCGACAGCGGCCCCAGGCCACGGAGAGGCGACCCTGCAGAGAGCGGATGTTTGTGAAGCTCCTCCTGGAGGGAAAGCTGCCGCCAGTGCAGAACACTCCCCTCTCGAGGCACAGACGGGGGAGCGGTCACGAGCCGGTCAGTCCCTCTTAGAGCCAAAATCAGGGGCTCAGAACATTTTCTAATGATTTCTGAGCCACCGAGTGCATCTGCCCAGTCTCTGTTTTCATTCCCTGAGATGTGGTACTTTCTCTCCTGGAGTCCCGTATTGGGGGTGCTTCAACCGCAGACCTTGCCTCCCTCCCAGGGTGCTGAGGAAGGACAGGCCCTGCCTTCCCCAGGAGAGCTCAGGCTGGAGAAGCCCCGGTGTAGGGGGAAGTTCTAAGCAGGCATTGTCACCCCCAGGTCTAGTGTCTCCACAGTGCCTCCCCCATGTGCAGCCGCTGGGATGTGTCCAGGGCAGGACAGGAGGCAGGTGCCCAGGTGCTCCCCTAGGCAGAAGGCTCGGGTTCTGTTTTAGGGCAGGTGGGCTGGTGTGGCCCCCGGGAGCACAGAGTCCTCACTGTGGCCCCCCAAATCCCCACAGACGCCGACCAGTCTCACCCAGGAGGGCAGGCCCTGCTGTACTGCAGGCCCCCTGGGGCGCTGGTTCCCCCATCTGACCACACGTGCCTTCCTTGGGATCAGCGCACCCCCAGGAAATCCTGGGTGCCTTCATGTCTTGGTCACTTGGTGGTCTGGGACCCTCGGGCTCCTCATCCGTCCACAGAGCTGGCCAGGCTGTCTGTGGGGAAGTGTTGACTGGGGGCCCCAAAGCTTCTGCTAAGAAATCCTTCTGAGTACAGCCTCTGGCCCTGGAGAACTGGAACTCCCTGCCCTGCCACTGACTTACAAAGTTGTCCCCTCCCTATGCACTTCCAGGCACAAAAGACAGGATCTGATTACTGAGGAATTTCGATGTGCAGGGGTGGAACTCTGCCACGAGTCCAGAAACTCCAAACACATGAACCTGGTAACTCACTGTGCAAACAGAGAAGCATTCCTGCACAGGGTCCCTGGCGTTTGCTCTCAGCGGTCCTCGGTCAGTCCACTCTCTGTCCCTCCCACTAGCCAGCCCCTCTATGCCAAGGGACAGCTCCCTCGTCTCCATGGCAGGCTGGTCTTGGGGCGCAATGGTGACATCTCCAACTACCTTTCTCTGCTCTTCACTGCTGATCCTGCTCCCAGGGCCACCCCCATCGGGCCAGGAGGCTACGAGGTGGTGACGGGTAGATGCTCCAGCTGAGACCTGCCCGGCCTCTCCCCATCTGCACGTCTCTTAGGAGAGGACCCACATCCAGTCCCCACACATCCACCTGCTGTGGGCGTTCTGGCCGGCGGGCCTATGACCCAAATCTACCTCGGGCCCAGGGCTCACTCAGGGGGCTGGGGGCCTGGAGTGGCCAGAGCCGACCCCGCTGAGTTCTGCGGAGACCGACGATACTCAGGGCCCAGCAGGGGTGGAAGGATGGGCTCTAACAGGTGTGGCCCCAGGACCACAAGCCGCACCTGCTGTGTCTGAGCCCAAACAGGGCCTCCTTCCCCTCAGGTGAGGTTCTGCAGGGAGCTGGGCGGGGCGCGGAGGCGCTGGGAGCAGGTCAGCAGCTGAGGAGTGGCTCCGGGAGGGGCTACAGAGGCCCAGGGCCTGCTCTCAGGGGTCGCTGGGGACACGAGAGACTCCGACAGGGGCCGACCAGTGTGCACTTCTCTCTTGTGCTGGGGCCCCTCTCTTCATTCCCTGCTGGACATGTCCATGCTGTGCTTGGCGGAGCTGCGTTTCTCCTGCTCTCCCAGTACAGAGCTCCCGGGAAGGGCTCTCCTGCCCTCTCGTGGCGGCCTCAGGGCAGTGGCCTGTGGGGGCCGCCAGCTCCTCCGCTGTGAGCTGCTGGTCACGGAAGAGACTGTGCCGTGCAGGGGACGGGGCCACTTCCTGATACTCAGGGACAGACCTTCTTCTCTTGAGGAAAGACTCATAAGACCTCCTCCAGGTCTTTCCTGATTAGGAATTTAATCCAGGGGTCAAGAAAAGACTCCCCAACCTGATGGAGGCTGCCCAGGCAGGGAGAAGAAAGGTCAGAGACCACGGAGAGGCGGAGGGGCGCCAGGCTTCAGTGCCCCCTGCTGCGGCGCCCGGCATGTGGCTCACCGGCTCTCCTGCCTCTGTTACTCGGGAAGAAACAGCGGGCAGGGGGAGAGTCCCCGGGGCCTGAAGCAAGGCCAGGCCTTTGCCATGGATAAATGACTTGGGCCTGCTGGAGCTGGGGTGTGGACCGTGGCCTCCAGGTTGTGAGCACAAAACTGCCCGTAGGACCCCGGCTGTGAAGGCCACTGAGCCCAGCAGAGCTCCACCCTGAGTCCTCCCAATAGAGCCAGCGGGGTCAGGGAGGCCTGGCCCTGAGCAGCGCAGAGGCAAAGGCGTGGCCCACTCAGTTCCGATGTGGCCTTGGCTGTTCTGTGGATTTGTTTCGGGGTGCTCTGTGGCCCCCTTCGTAAAGAGGGTCAGCTTCTGCTTGGGCGGTCACTTCCCAGCCATTAACCACCGACATCTGGAAGGAGTGTCTGTTCACAGAAATAGCAGCAGCCCTGTCTTCAGAGGCAGTGGCCTGGGCGTGGCTGCAGTGCTGTGCGTCCCCGGGGGGGGGGGGCTGCAGTGCTGTGGGTCCCCGGGGGGTGAGGGTTGCATAGGGAAACCCAACTCAAGGGGCTCTGTACCCACAGGGCCCAGGCAAACCCCTTGGCCTGTCCATGGGAGTGTCAGGGTCCTCCAAGGCTACAAGAGGTCACATCACCTGTCCAGGAGGACTCACGGGTGTGTAGGCAGGTATGTTCAGCCAGGTGGTGCCATTTCTCCCAGGTAAAGGTGACGGCTGGGTCATACGGCAGGTGTGTCTCCAGCTTCCAGCTTTCTTTCTGTGCCCTGACCACTCTGCAGCTCTGCCAGTTGCAAGTCTGCCCTGCAGGCCTGAACTCCAGCTGGGCTGTGAACATTTCCAGGCACTGATAAAGGCGTTTAGGTCATTGCCCAAAACCCTGAAACAAAGCAGCCCTGGTCCAAATTCGTTAAACTCTCATATCAACTCCACACCCACCCCCTCGCTGCAGACAGACCTGGGTGGAACCCCCGTCTTGCTGTCTGTCCCAAAGATATGCTATCTGTCCCATCTGTCCTGAGGATACACTGCAGCCCTCATGCCAGATCCCCTAGTAAGTGCTCTGGACAGATCATCCTGGCAACGATCGCCTCTTTCCCTGGAATCCCAACCAGCCCCATCTCAGGATGGTCTGAGGCACTCCCTGGTGGAAACTCCCCTGTCACGGCTTTTGGAAAGACTCCAGCTGTGGGTTTGGCCAGGGTGGAGCACAAACTGTGAAATGATTTCCAAAGGGTGTAGCTCCCATCGACTGTGTATGAGGGTTCCGGCCACTCCGTTCACCCACCAATACTTGGTCTCCATGTTTTTAGTTAGACTATTCCAGTGGTGATAACTGGATTCTCAGTGGTATCCCCACTGAGATGTTCACGTTCACTTCCCTTCCTGTCCCCATCGGCCACTCGGGTTCCCTTCTTGTCCGTCGGCCATTCAGGTTCCTTTATGCGTCAGGCTGGCTACCATCTTCATGTCAGATTCCTGGATTTCAAAAGATCTTTATATGTTCTAGATATAGCCCTCTATCAAATCCATTATTCTGAATATTTTCCTCGTCGATGGCTTGCCTTTTCATTTTAAGTGTCTTTCAAAGACCAGAAATGCTTATTTGTTGGTGAAGTTCAATATCTTATTTTTTCTTTTAAAGCTCATGCTTCTGTGTCTGACTGAGGTCTTTTTTTCCCAAGCGTTTGTCCATCACCTGGCATTTCTGGGTGCTCAGGACTCCGCTCTGACTGAGGAGCGAGGCGATTTCTTTTACTGTCTCCTGTCTCTGAAGAAGGAAAATTTGAAAAACAACAGGAATGAAGTCAGTGGCAAGACCAACCAGTGCCACTGATGACCTCAGGGCTGCAGTGCTGTGGGTTAAAAGATTAACCCCCCCACTCTAGCCACATGTGCTCTCTATCTATCACGACCCTTTCACGTGGACCCCTTAGGGTTGTAAGCCCTTAAAAAGAGCCAGGAACTCTTACAGGAAGCTCAGTTCTTGAGACACAAGTCTGCCGAAGCTCCCAGCCAAATAAAGTCAAATTCTTCCTTAACCCAGTAACTGAGGGGTTCTGTCCGCAGCTCCTCCTGCTACATGACCTGCCTGTCTATCCTCTTACCCAAAGCAACCTGCCTTGATTCCTGCAGCTTTAAAATAACCCTATCAGGGTTAAATATTTTAATTTTTGCTTCACATAGCGTAAACCAAAAATAAAATTCTAAGCTTTCTCAACCCACTGAATGGACCCCTTCTCTCCACCAGGGGGATCCCAAAGAAAGCTGAAAAATGAGTTCAGGCCATGAAGGGATGGGGATTGGACATGACTCATTATACCCACCTCCCTTTGGAGTTCAGGTGCAGCTGACCAGACTGACATTAAAACAGACTATTAGACTGACAGAGCAGACTCTATACCAGCAAGACACCAAGTTCCAATCTGACGCTGGTATAGCATCACGTGACAGCAGGCCCTCAAAGCATCAATGTATTTTACCCCAAAATATACCACTTTGACAAATTTTGAAATGGCCCACAAAGCTGTGTCTTGTGGGGAAATTCATATTCTGTAGACTCTCCTTCCCTTTCCAGCTCCTTTTCTGATCCTGAGGAGACTGGCTGAGAATCAAGTGCCTTGTGAAGGTCTGAATAGGAAACATTTGCCATGTATTGCCTCTAAGGGCAGACGCCTCTGAGATTTCATCCATATAATAAGGACCTTGGTCTCCACAGCCCTTACCTTAACCCAGACACTCCTTTCTATTGATTCCAGGCCTTCAGATAGTAACTTAATTCTTTCAACCAATCGCCAATCAGAAACACCTTTGAATCCACCTATGACCTGGAGGCCTTTCCGCTTGGAGTTGTCCTGACATTCTGGATCAATCCAATGCACACCTCACATGTACTGACTGATATCTTGTCTCCCTGAAATGTCTAAAACCAAGCAGTAAAACAACCGCCTTGGCCCAAGTTCTCAGGACCTCCTGAGGCTGAGGTCATATTTGGCTCAAAATAAATCTCTTCAAATATTTTACAAAGTTTGGCTTTTTTTTTGTAAACAATAGGCAGATATAGATTCCATTTGCTAATTTTTAAAAATGCTCTCTGTGTCTTGGTTCATGAAAGAACAAGATCACATCATGTTCTGTGATCGGTGGTGTCCAACTCTGCTATCAAGGCAATGCTGGCCTCATACATCAAGCAGGGAAGCGGCCCCTCCTCGTCCATTGTCTGAGTGGCTGGATTCCTATTATTTCTTCTCTAAATACGATTTACCAGCTTGGCTCTCTGGGCCTGGAATTTTCTGTGTGAGGACACATGATAACAAATTAATCTCAAATTTAACAGATAATGGGCATTAGTATTTTCTTTTTTGGTAACTGGCATCCTTCAATAAATTCGTCCAGTTATACTGTTTTGGGGGCTGCCTGCACTAGTCAGCGTGGCGTCCCCTCAAAAGGCCGGGCCTGACAGCGCCGCACCCCAGGCCAGCTCTGTCGGCCCGTGCTGGTTCCCTGGGGAGCAGCGGGAGCTGCCTGGAGGCTGCGGTGTGTGGTGGCGGCGGGCAGGCACCTGGCTCCCGAAAGCAGACCTTTAATAACGCCTCGCAGAAGGGGCGGGGTGGGAGGCTGGCAGCGCAGGGGCGGCAGCTCCGGATCCCCGCGGGTCTCCGGATCACCCCACCGAGCCCCGCGCCTCAGTAGCGCAGTCCCTCCAGGGCTCCTTGGAAGGCCAGGCTCCAGCCCCGGTGCCCCGTCCCCGGGGCTCCAGGGTTGGGGGCACCTAGGAGGCCGCAGGCGCGGAGCTCGAGGGCGCCTCCCGACTAGAAACCCAGGCTCTCACGCGCGGCTCCCGCCCCGTCCCCAGCTCCAGGGGGGCGAGAGCACCCAGCGCCGATCCAGTATACGAACGCCCCCGTGCCCCGTCCCCACCGTCCAGCCCTCCCGCCCCTACCGGTCCCTCGCCTCCTCCCCACCGGCCCGCCCCGAGCCGTCCAGCGCTCAGCTCTCCCAGCCCCGCCCCGCCCCTTGCCCCGCCCCCGCCATCTAGCCCTCCCGGCCCCCAGTCTCTCGCCCCTCCCCACTGGCCTGCAGGGTCCACCGACCTCCTGATCCCCGGACCTCCCGGCCTCAAGGACCTTCAGGAGTCCCTGTGTGGGCTGCGCCAGGTTGCCAACGACAGCACCGGCACGCAACACACCCACGGCCTCCAGGTCTCCGATGGAACCGCCGACCATGGCGCTCAGGAGGGCGGAGAATCCGCGCACGCGCAATTCCTGCTCCCGCCCGGGCTTGCTGGAGATGGCGCATAACGCATGCGCGGGAAGGGCTGCTCTGGGCGTTGCCGTGGCTACTGGGAACGCGTTTCACGGGGGCGGGGCTTGCTTCCGGGGCGGGGCGCGGCCGCCGGAAGTGCGTGGCCGGCGGGGGCCATGGCGGCACTCAGCTTTGTCTTCCTGCTGCTGGGGGCAGCGTCCTGGCCGCCGGCTTGTGCCTCCGGGCAGGAGTTCTGGCCCGGCCAGTCGGCGGCCGACATTCTGTCGGGGGCGGCGTCCCGCAGACGGTAAACGCGCGTCCACGGTGCCGATGCTGGGGTTCCAGGGTCGGGCAGGGTCAGAGGATGGGATGAGGGCGGGGTGGGTCTGGGATGCGATGGGATGGGGCGGGGTCAGGGGCCAGGGAGAAGGGATGGGGTCAGGGGGCAGGCACATGGGATGGAGGGTGGTCCGGGGCCAGGGGGATGGAATGGAGCGGAGTCTTGGGGCAGGGGCCAGGAGGATGGGATGGAGCGGGGTCAGGGGGCAGTGTCCAGGGGAATGGGATGGGGCACGGGTTCTGGGGCACGGAATGTGGCGGAGTAAGGGGCCAGGGTGATGGTATGGGG